TATTCTACAGTGACTGTGCCAACAATGCTAAGTGGCCTCCTTATAGAGCATCAGTCTATCTCCTTTATCGGCTGCCTCACTCAGCTGCACTTCTTCCACTTCCTGGGCTGTAGTGAAGCTGTGCTGCTGGGGGTCATGGCATGTGACCGCTATGTGGCTATATGTAATCCATTGCGTTATCCTCTCATCATGAGTAAACGGACTTGTGTTATCTTAGCTGGAGCCACTTGGGGCACTGGCTTTTTTTATGCCTTGATGCATACAGTGGTAACCTCTCAGCTATGTTTTTGTGGCCCTAATCTTGTCCCACACTTTTTCTGTGACATCAAACCCCTCCTCAAGTTAGCCTGCAGTAGCACAGGATTTAGTTACATCCTGCTGAAACTTGTCACTGGTTCAATTGCTTTCTGTTCATTCTTTTTCACTCTTCTCTCCTATTTTTACATCATCTCCTTCCTCTTCCTTAAAGTCCAGTCATGGCAGAACCATTGGAAAGCCTTCTCCACCTGTGCATCCCATCTGACTGTTGTGGCAATCTTCTATGTTCCAGTACTATCCAACTATATGCTTGCTTCTGCCAGTGGCTCTTTTGAGAATGACCTAATCATTTCTCTGTTATACAGTGTAGTTACACCAGTTTTAAATCCTCTGATCTATTCTTTGAGGAATCAAGAAGTCAAATCTGCTATAAGGAAGATTCTAACTCAAAATGCCCCATTTGGAATGACCTGAATACGTCTATTTTTGGGAAAGATATGGAATGCTGCTGAACACATTCAAACTACTTTCAGGGCTTGGATCTACATTACATAAAGAGAATTCTTTCTATATCCTCTCCTTTTAAGGTCATCTTATGATGACCACAAGTCTCTTTAGCTGCTAATGTGTTTTTCAATACCCTCCCTAATTCCTTTCTTCATATATCTTTCAGTAGGGTTTCCATTTTTATCATTTAATTTATTTAAATTAACATCGAAGATTTTTATTTTTAACTGGGTTTATCCTTTTTATTGCATAACACTGAAAGACATTAAGAGCTAGTAGGATCAAAATCCAAATATATGGATGGACGGATGGATGGATGGATGGATGGATAAATGAATCTTGAATTCTATACTGTAACTATTTTTACTTCATCCTTTACTTAAAGATTGACACAACAGAATACTGATGATTCTAGCACGCTGTAGATCTATGGTTTTAATAAACATAATCAAGGCTATGCAGCAGGAGATTTTTTCAAAAGCAAAAGAGAAAATGAAGACTTTCAGTATGATTTAAAAAGTGTGTGTTAATTATATTCTCATACCCTATGGTGAATAAAGCATTATTGTGAAGTCCAGAAAAAGGCTATATTCATTTTCTCAGTCCTTTTTACTGTGATCCTTTTAGGTGGAACTTCAAGAATCAGATGATAAGTTTCTATTCATATATACCAATATGTACAACCACTGCTCTTTTGGGGGATGGGAGGAAGGGGGGCCCAACACAATCTAGTTTTCCAAACTGCTTCATGAAACATAACAAATTGCTTCATGGGACATGTTTAAGGTTGTCTTCATTTTACTTGAGAAGGCAGGGAACAGGTTTGATTGACATTTTAAAATACCTTTTTTTAGAGCATTTTAATTCATTTGTCTGGTTTAATATACTCTTTTAAGACTTCTTCACAGTCCCCACTTTGGTGTGATCACTGTGGACCAGGGCATATTTTTAAAAGCTGACAATGACTCAAAATAGAACTGTGCCATCCCACTTTTTTTTTTTGGTTCATTTTTTTTAAAAAAATTGCATTCCTCCTCCAAGCACACTAACCCCACTGCACACCTCTTCCGCGTAATCTTCATTGTGTTTGACTCTACAACATATTCAGTCCTCTCTATAGACAGCATTATGAAGCAGAAGTTGGAGGGTGAGGTGAAGGCATCATAGGCAGCCTCCTTAGCATAATGTCCAGCAATGCAATATACAAGAAGTTGCATTGCCTCTTGGCCTGAGGTGATTTCCCCCCACCCCCAAAGTGAACTATACAGTAATATGCCAATGCTGATATGCAAGCTATATTATGTAGTGGAGACTGGCATGCACTGAGATGATGTGGGGTGCAATTCTCAATTAGTAGAATATATAGATTATTTCATACATCCCTAGTTCTTAACACTACTTTAAAGGTGATCTTCAAGCATCATGGGCTAATACCTTATAACAGACTCTCCTGTACATATTTTGTTGAAAATACAAGAGAATCACGGCACTATTTT